ATTCGGTTGGCGCCAATATGGGTTATAAAAAACTCCAAACACGACCGGATCGTAGGTTAACGCTGGTCAGCTACCAGCATATCACAGACCGAGATTCCCAGACCATTTCCAGCAGTTATCATGAGTTCACCTGCATTCACATATAAGACAGATTAGAAAAAGTAGATAAAGTAATTTAAAGAAAATTTACCCAGATGAAAACCAAGGTTGTTGGAATGGTGCGTCCAGTTAAGCGGTAGGGTCTCACCCCACCACTTATAGAGCTCTTTCTGTGCGGCATTAATCATAACGATCCCACACAGCACTCCGTCTGCATCTTCAAGGAGTAGGCACTCGTTGCCTGAATGTGTCAGGTACGCCTCCACCAGCAATTCGACTCGGTGCTCCACGCACGGACCACCGTATCGAGATGCTAGAAAATTGGGAGCTTGCTGGTTAGACACCGTTCGTCCTAAAATAATAGTAGAAACAAAACAATTAAGTACAATTAACCCAATATTATAAGCATTAAAACGTACCAATACTATTGGAAAGAAAGTTGGCCATTTCCGCCCGAGATATATTCACTGTCCTGAGCAAATTCACCTTTTCCAAAAGCTCCTTCCCGTTGATGGATTTACTTTCTTTGAGACGGCCAAACGTTTCCTCCGTTATTGGATGGTTATGTATGGTTTCCTAAAGGTAACAATAACGATTAGCGATATGTGGGTCGTGTGATTGAAAAACAAATAGTATATCGTACCTGGTCGCGCACTGCATCAAAGTGTTTTTATTTTGCCCTGTTTAACCACGAGGGCAGTCAGACGAGCTGGACATCCGTTGAATCTGAAATGTGTATGCACAGAAATACCACTGCCGCGGGAGCCGTCGTAGCAACCATGCGTGCAGTAATATGTATCAATCGCATCTTTGAATGCAGGTTTTGCAGGTGGGACTGGGACTTCAAATTTTACAGCAGCATGGTAGCCAGGTGTGTCAAGTCTAAAACCCAAGAGATACAAACAATCTAGTAACAATGGATTGCAAATAACAAAATAGCAAAAACCAGTACCGTGCATTGTTGAGTCGCGCGGACATTGATGTGCGTAGCCGATAGGTCACCAAATGCTTATCCAGATACGCACCCCAGGACACATCAAATGAGACGGCGTCAAACGAAAAGATGCTTACAAACCTAAGTACGAATCGCGATTTAGGCATACCATTGCAGAGAGGATGATCTCCTCTTTCGATTGGTGCATTCAGATCTACAAAACGTGAAAAACTCACTGGGCGACGAGTCTCAGAAAAACATGCCTCCTTCAAAAACTTTTTTGGAAAAAAATGTTTTTAGACCACTGGAAACCATATTTCTTACTGAATCGATTGCACCTGCTCCCAGTATCTAGTTTGCTTTACTTCCTTTTTA